CCCCCCCCCCCCCCCCCCATCTAATGTGATGTTTTGGTCCCTTCCTGCCCACGTGCAGGAAAGGTTTTTTTTCCTGTGCTGATTCTACGGTACGACCGCAGCGGGCAAGGGGCAGCTGCTTTGGGCCCCACAACCATGACAGGGCCCAGGGCTAGTGCCCTCTTTGCCCTGCGTTAAAGACGGCCCTGTCAACGGGTGGTGAAAGTGAAACTACTGTGCTTAGAAAATGATACTCTAACTGAGCTTTTATATAATTAAGGATGCCAGGGCAAAAAATCCCGAACATATACAGTACATCTCTGCAATACTCAGTTGCTAAGTTTATTTGTGGGTTAACAACACACAGAAGTTATGTGGACTAAGTGTTGTCAGCTCTGCCTAGTTTTACTTTTGTTAAACTACTCAAACCCACCCACTTGCCCATCCCCACAACATAAATGCTAATTATTGTAGTCCCAAGATAAGAACTAGGAGGATTAATTACTCTCCTTGAGCTAATACAAGAAGTGTTCACAATTTCTGACATGATCGAGAGATATTTTTCTGCACTTTTCAAAAAGATACTACAAAATGCTTTCATTGGTATAATTAACAGGCAAAAGGGAGCAAATAAGAGAAGTTAATTGTTAGGGTTTACATACACTTTAAGATCCGTGTCTATTTATAATCCCCCTTAATTATTACAATGCCTAAGGTCGCCTTTACTTTTGAAAATTACCTAGGCCATGCTTCTATGAATTATACTTTATTTAAAAAAATATCCATTAGGGATGAGGTACTGCCAGACATTACCTACCCTAATTAATATGAATTCAGTCTTTCCACACTCTGAAATTCCTTTGTATTCACTTCTCAAGGATTAAACGGAAATCTTCTACTCATGACATTTCATGCCAGAAATAACTTATTAAGACATCCAGCAAATCAGTAAACAAGACCCCTTGTGATCCAATAATAATTTTCCACTCTGCTCCCAGTATATAAAACTCCCACACAAAATACAAATATCTATCAGATTAAGTCCTTAAACTGGCTAGAAACATGACATGACCATCACCTGAACCAGAAGAATCAAATGACAATCTCAGGTCTATGGCAACAGCAGATAAGTGCCTGCCTGTGCAATCATCATCTGAGGTCTATTACTATCCTAAGAGTCCATTGCAGTAATGTGTGATATGAAAACACGCAGCAACACATGTTGCATGCGTTGCGTAATTGGCGGAACTACTAGGGTCACATCGGTTGCATGGCATTCCGCCACTTGGGGGGGGGCCTTTTGCTGCCACCGACATATGTCATACCTGCTGGCAGCGGGCCCCCTTAAACAGACTCCCAGCGGCTATCATGCCTAAAGCCAACTGTTGACTTTACACTAGAATCGATTCCGGCAGCTGAGCTGCCCCCAGGTCACTTCCAGGGACTGGTGTAGTGCGCCTCCATCCCCAACTTGCTTCACCGGCATGATGGGTGTTGGTCGGAAGCAGGGAAGGAGACCGGCAAACATCCATTCGCCAATCTCCTTCACACTGAATGGGGCTGGAAGCGAAGCTGAACGTAACATACAGGGGTACAGGTACACTTAAATACTAGACCACACAAGGACTCTTATACACACATGCACGCACAAGAGACACACACGTACACACAAAAAGGTTGAAGTGGATGGACATGCCTTTTTCCAACCTCAAATACTATGTAACTTCCGGTCCCTCAGCTGTCATTTCCTGGCTGCAGATGGCGGAGAAGCAGCTACTGGAGCGCAATCTGCTCTCCAAATGCTTCTTTGGAGTGGAAAGGTGACAATAGGGGTATAATTGACCGCTAATGTAACCTTATAGAGAACCTGTAACCTCCAGTGTGCCCCCTTATGTGATAGCGATTAGGTAAAAAAAAAGTAAAAATAATAAACAAATGTTATAAAGTCCCCTGTCCCCGTGAGGGTGCATATTAACATAAACACACATCGGGTGCGCAGACATATGAAAATGATGACTGTGCTACACATGTTAGGCATCGCCATGGGTGCCAGAGTGAAAGCAATAAGTCTAAGGCCAATATTCACAGATATCTCTAAACTGATGACCTGTACGGGCTTTTAAAGCATAGTATATAGACAATTTGGGGTACTGTATTTTGGCGCCGTCTCAGGAACACGCACAATTTTTAACCTGGACATGTTGGGTATCATTTACTTGTAACCTCATCTTTTATATTTTATTTTAAAAATGGGTATTATATTGTGTTTTTGGTCACTAAAATTAATGTAACTGTTTTAAATTGATATATATATATATATACACTATATTGCCAAAAGTATTGGGACATCCCTCCAAATCATTGGATTCAGGTGTCCCATAACCTCCATTGCCACAGGTGTATAAAATCAAGCAATCAAACACCTAGGCATGCAGACTGCTTCTACAAACATTTGTGAAAGAATGGATCGCTCTCAGGAGCTCAGTGAATTCAAGAGTGGTATCGTGATAGGTTGCCACCTGTGCAATAAGTCCATCCATGAAAATGTCCTTGCTACTAAATATTCCACGGTCAACTGTTTTATTATAACCGAGTGGAAGCAACTGGGAACAACAGCAACTCAACCACGGAGTGGTAGGCCACGTAAAATGACAGAGCGGGGTCAGCGCATGCTGAAGCGCACAGTGCACAGAAGTCGCCAATTGTCTGCACAGTCAATAGCTACAGACCTCCAAATTTTGTGTGGCCTTCAGATTGGCACAACAACAGTGCATAGAGAGCTTCATGGAATGGTTTTCCATGGCCGAGCAGCTTTCAAGCCTTACATCCAAGTGCAATGCAAAGAGTCAGATGCAGTGGTGTAAAGCACGCTACCACTGGACTCTAGAGAAGTGGAGATCTGTTCTCTGGAGTGACGAATCACACTTCCCTGTCTGGCAATACGATGGACGTGTCTGGGTTTGGCGGTTGTCAGGAGAACAGTAGGAACCCAGATAGCAAGGATAACTTGCCACAAACTTGTGGCAGGGTTAAATTGTAATTCTTGTGAACTTGCTGCACACATTCCTGGCAAGTTGTAGACTTGCAGAACACTTGCAGCACAAATTCTAGGTGACACTTTGAATTTGTAGCAAATTTGCTTGGCAAGTCTACAGCAAGAGTTTTGCAGGTCTTAGCAAGAGCTTTGCAAGTGTATAGCACTTTTGCAAGGCACGTTGATCTGGAGACTTGCAATGCAGACTTGCTTTAATTGTGCAACAAAATTGTGAAGCTTGGCAAGTCTGCAATAGTTTAGCAAGTCATTTTCAAACTTGCAGCTCAATTGCTTGCTATCTGGGAACTTGACTGGCCTGCACGGAGTCCTGACCTCAACCCAATAGAACACCCTTGGGATGAATTAGAGCAGAGACTGTGAACCAGGCCTTCTCATCCAACATCAGGACCTGACCTCACAAATGCGCTTCTGGAAGAATGGTCAAACATTCCCATAGACACACTCCTAAACCTTGTGGACAGCCTTCTTAGAAGAGTTGAGGCTGTTATAGCTGCAAAGGGTGGGACAACTCAATATTGAACCCTACGGAGTAAAACTGGGATGCCATTAAAGTTAATATCCGTGTAAAGGCAGGCATCCCAATACTTTTGGCAATATAGCGTGCGTGTGTATATACACTGAGTGGCCAGATTATTTATATATACATACATACATACATACATATATAATATTTTGGGGGCTTTAAGTAATTTTCAGGCCTAAAATGTGGATTATGAAAAAACCGCCTTGGCAGAGAAAGGGTAAATAACGAAGACTATATTTAGGGTTCTTAAATATGCACATGTGACCGTTGCGACCCTGGTAGTTCTGCCACTAATGGGAACATACTTTATGGTAATTGCAGGATACATTTTGGTAACAATAGGCTTAGTAATGCCAACAGCAGCAGCCATTTACAACAATTATTTATTGAAGAAAAGGGGAAAAGCAGAATCATGCTTCTTTTTGAGGGGGGGCTTCATGCTTTCTTGCATCGGGGCCCTGAGGTTTCTAATTACGCTTCTGCTTTGTGGTGCTATTAATTTTGAATGGCAGCTTAATACAATAATTGAATGCACCTGTGTTGTAGCACACCACAGTGTACAGCAAGAAGCAGGCATCAGCGTGACTGGGCCAATTTACATTATTTGTTTCAGTAGTGTTTTATTTAATTTT